TTCGATCAGGTGACACTACTCCAATACACACATATTCTCGACAATACTTATAGTACTGGGTTATTTAGGTAGCTGGTACTGCTCTATTGGTGCTATTTGTGGCTGCGATAATTGATAAGCGCAACAAAATCCCAGAATCCGCTCATCCCATGTTATTCGGCCTAGTTTTAGTGATGATCGGTAGGATCAAGATAAACATTTCGTCTTAAACCAGATAGAAGCGTTTCACGGAATATCCTAGGTTGTGCATATGGTATGAATCTTGGGTATCCCATCAATCCAGCGAGAGACTTGGGTCCAAGATTATTAGCTTACTTTATATACGGCAGTGAAGTCTTCACGTGAGTCTCGTCTGTCTTTTATTGTAAGACTAACTTTTAAACATGTAATTTTTCTATTTAAGCTACCACAATTACTACTTCTGGATACCAATCATTGCACCACTAATCGGAGGAGTATTTGGCGCATGGTTATACCATATTTTTGTTGGAGCACACTTGCCAGATGATGATGATGAAATTCTAAGTGATACTTCCGAAGAGGAGCAGTCTGACAACGAAAATCGGCGAAAAGCTGGTGGACATAAAAAAGACGAACCTTCTAGCCCTAGAGACTCTGGTGCATCCTCCTCAAGATCAAGCAAAAGAAGAGTAGCTACTTAAAATCCAAAAAAAGGCTCAAAATGGCGTTCAGCGAGAGAGCCTAAGATCGTTGAAAAGATACTGCTTAAAGAGAGTTAATATTTGTAAAGATTTGAAACACATGCTTTAAAAAATGAGAGACTGTGTACCATTCCTTGTTTAAATAAAGTTTGTTTCATTAAGCTAAGTCATGAAATCGTTATCGATGAATTATCCTGAGAATAGTATTATTCTACGAACACTAACAAATCCACAAATTTGTACATCAATCCTTACAAACCTTCTATATTCTGGCGAAATAACGCTAAGTTGCCTACAGCAAACGTCAGATCTTCCACCTGTACAGTGAGCTCAGCCCTATAAAAATATTTAAATCCACATATAAATTTTCTAGTTACAATTTCGAAAAGGGTTGCTCACCGCAGATTTGAGATCTGATCCCTAAAGGTCGTGAAGGTTTTGTGGAGTTGAGATACCGC